AACTTTGATAAAGGATGATAATTACAGAAAGACTTTTGGTCATAGGGTTGCTATGGGTCATGCTTGACAGCAATCACAACAACAGTGTTCATTAATCAAGGAGGAAATGAAGTCAGAAGGCAACATTTTACTTCCAACCTTACATTGCCAAGTATCACAGAAACTTACAATACCACATGCAACATAGGCTAGATTTGAACATACAGAATCCAGTCAAGAGGGGTGAACAGTGAAGATACCCATGGGTCAGCCCTGAAGCAGTGCTCCAGGAAGCTTGAATCTATTCTGACAAACACACCAGGGAGACAGAAGAGAAGGAATGGCAGGATCCAGAGTCTAAAAGGAGTAAAGGAGAGCTTTGCATCTAGAGATACAGGCCTGGGTCCTCAGAGTGAGCTGCAGAATCACTCCACCAGTGACCATGAGGACACTAGAGGAACTGACAGTAATGAGTTGCCAAGTGATAAGAAGTTGGAGGAATTGAAGGCAGGGGAGCCGAGGGACCAGAACTTTAGCAGCAAAGTAATGCAAAGGGGGCAGGGATTCTTTGACAGCAATGGGAACTTCCTTTATAGAATTTGAGCTAAGGTCTACCTTGTGGAGATGTTATGTGAAACAGCTGAGCAAGTGGATACATCATTTTGAGAAGACTGAAGCTACAAAAATCAGAAACGACAGTGTAAGACCATATCATGGACCTTCTAGAACTGTAAGAGAAGACTATGAGCAATTTATTATATGCCGACAAATTTGATAACAAAGATGAAATGGACAAATTTCTAGAACACACAAACCATTAATAAGAAAAGAAAAACAAGCGGTTGAATCAATAATAATAATTGTTACAATTTTAACAAAGACCAGATTTCAACAAATTTCAATAAAACTAGGACCAGATAGCTTCACTGAGGACTTCAATCAAACATTTAAAGAAGAATCAACAATAGTTCTCCTCAAATTAGTTCCCATCTCATTCAATGAAGTCAAGAGCCAAGCAAGCCAGATAAAATATCACAAGGAAACAACAGATAAATATGAATCTTCTTGCTGTTGTTGTTGTTGTTAAATGCCATTGAGTTGAGTATGACCCACAGTGACCCTATGAATGAAAGATCTGAATCCTGTTCTATCCTGTGCCATCCTCAAACTTCCTGATGCACAAGAGCCTATTGCAGCAGTCACTGTGTCAATCCACCTAACTGAGGGTCTTCCTTTCCTTCTCTGACCCTCCACCCTTCCCAGAATCATGTCCTTCTCCAAGGTAAAGCCTCTCCTCACAACATGCCCAAAGTATGTGAGGCAAAACCTCATCATTCCTGCCTCCAAAGAGCATTCGAGCTGTACCTTCTCCAAGACATACCTGTTTGTTCTGGCAGTCCATGAAATGTTCAGTGCTCTTCCTTAACACCACAGCTTAAAGGCATCAGTTCTTCTGTCTTCCTTATTCATTGTCCAGTTCTCAGATGAATAGCAAGTAATCAGAAAGACTATGGCCTGAATCAGAAACACCTTAGTCCTCAAACTACATCATTATTCCTCAGTCCTTTGGAGAGGTCCCTAACTGAAGATTTCCCCAGTGCAATGCGTTTCCTGATTTTCTAACTTCCAAGGATGTTAATTGTGGATCCAAGCCAAGAAGAAGCTGTTGATAATTTCCATCCCCTCTCCATCCATCATGACTCTGTACTTGGCCCAGTAGTAAGAATGTCTTCTATACTGAAGGCTATATTCCTTGATCTTTGGCAACAAGTGCTTCAAGTCTTCCCTTCAGCAAGCAAGGTTGTGTCATATGCTTAACACAGGTTATTGATGAGTCTCCTTCCAATCCTGATGCCACACTCTTCTTTATAGAGCTCAGCCTCTTGAATAATTTGCTCAGCATACAGAATGAATAGGTATAGAGAGGGAATACAGCCCTGGCACACTCCCTTCTTTATTTTAAACTATGCAATGTTTCCCTGCTCTGTTTGCACAACAGACACCTGATCCACATGTAGCTTCCTCATGAGAACAATTAAGTGCTCTGGGATTCTCGTTCTTCTTAATATCAGCCACAACTTGTTATGATTCACATGGCCAAATGCCTTTGCATAGTCAATAAAACACAAATAGACATTCTTCTGGTATTCCTTACTTTCAGCCAGAATCCATCTGACATCAGCAGTGGTACCATGGCCTCTTCTAAATCCTGCCTGAGCTTCTGGCAGTTCCATATCTTTGTACTTCTCCAGCCGTTTTTGAATGATCTTCAGCAGTATTTTGCTTGCATGTGATATTAATAATACTGCTCGGTCGTTTTCACTTTTAGTTGAATCACCTTTCTTGGGAATGGGAACAAGTATGGACCTCTTCTGACAAGATAGCTGTCCTCCAAATTTCCTGGCATAGACTGGTGAGTATATCCAAGGCTGCATGTGTCAAATGCCACGAGGGTTATTCATGCTGAACAGGGTTTGGTGGAGTTCTCTGATTAAGACAGACTAGGACGCAGGATAGGCCTTCTAGTTCCTAAATAATGCCTTTAGGAGCACTAAAGAAAGAGGAGGAATGCACACCCATGTTTATCACGGCTCTCTTCACAATAGCAAGGAGTTGGAAACAACCCAGGTGTCCATCAACAAATGAGTGGATAAAGAAGCTGTGGTATATTCACACAATGGAATACTACGCTGCATTGAAAACAAGGAACTCATGCAATATTGTTCAAAATGGGTGACCCTGGAGGACATTATGCTGAGTGAAATATCGCAGTCACAAAAGGACAAATACTGCATGGTGCCACTGTTGTAGAATGGGACTGACATCAGGGTTTGGGTGAGACTGAGAAAAATTGGATAAATTATGTATACTGCATTGAAACAGATGAGGGAGAGAATAATTTAAAAGTGATATATGATGGGGTACTATGGTTATCACAAGAGTCCAGAATAGTGGAGTGTACTCGGGGTGGTGCGAGGGGTGTGGGGGAGATTGTATACCAAGAAAGAATTTTTCTTTTACTTTTCAAAGAGAGATGTGAACTGGGTGGGGAGGGCTGGGCAGGGAGAAAAGTGCAACAATGAGTGAATGGAAATCCAAAATATCTGTAAATGTTCTTT